AGTAGCTTTTGGCAATCACAGATATTTAACAAAATTCTTTCCACCTACCAACTCATCTTCCCCACCCCAACCATCTTCCCCCTACCAGATCAACTTTCCCCCAACTTAATCATCTGCTTCCCCAATCACCTTCCCCCACCCTTATCATCTCCCCCCCATGCCAATCTCTTTCTCTCCACCACCCAATCACCTTCCCCCACCCTAATTATCTTCCACCATCCCCAATCATCTTCTTATTATTAAATTTAAATTTATACCGCGCAGTTTCTATGAAAATATTCAACTGCGCCTAATCAACTTCCCCACCCTAATCAACTTCCCCCACCCAATCACCCTCCTTCCACCCTAATCAACTCCCCCACTCAATCACCTTCCCCCACCTTGATCATCTTCCTCTCCACTCATCTTCCCCCCACCCTTATAGACTTCCCCCTATCCAATCACCTTACCCCCACCCAATCATATTCCCCTTCCCCACAAACCTTCCCTTCGCCCTTACGAAGCGTTTCTCACCTTTTCTCAAAATATTTACAGTAACACTGCAAACCCGTCCTCTTTAGATTGGAAAACTACTATCAGCACTATACGCGAGTGATATGTTTTTAATGCTTCTATGAATTGTACAACGCTTTGCTACAACACAAGTCTAGACGATATCTCTTCAAGAGCAGAACGACAATAACATTGTTCTATTCACAAAAAAACATTTCCAATATTGCTCAAAATGATCTGTAAAAAATCTACTCTAAGCTAAGACCACTCAAAATATTTTAATCGTCTCGTGATCTACGCACTTTGAAATAAGTTTTTCCTTAAAAGAAAATTTACTGCTCCTAAGCATATGTGGACTGTTCCTGTAGGAGTAAAATTGAAAAACACATTTCGCATTAAAATTATATTTTCGAGGAATACTTGAATACTTCAAGATACAGCCGAGCATGAGAATTTGTGGGTCGTCTTTGGTGCGCAGAAATACGAATACAGTCTTGTAACGTAACATCCTCTTCAAAATTCCGCTCTTCAAATTCTGTTTTGCTTGATCAAAGTGCGGCGTATTCTAATACTTTTGTGTCAACAGTTACAATTTTTTCGCAAGTTTAAATTAACCAACTGCACCCAAAAGTTCACTTGTTAAAAATAAATAATGTGCTTTCAAAATATGGTGCAAAATCTATCCCAGTGATATTCTAAATAATGGTAAAAAGTAAAATAACAAACATGTTTACTCTTGGCGTCAGATAACCATTAGGTCATTAAATGACTGTTTGCTAAATTTTTGCTTCTTCCCATAGAGACCAGTTCATTTCTCTTCCTTAGGGGGGGCTAGTGGGGGAGTGAGTGGTAGCATATAGCCAGATGACACAACTTTGCCGATGGTTTCTACTTGGAATCCAATTTCATGTAGATGGCAGTGATCCAGAATCATTCGGCCGTCAAAGGCAAACGCTGGTTTCAGCATGCTGTCGTAGATTCGCTTGTAATCATATGACTGTGAAAATAAAGAAATGTAAACGATGGCGTGTTTACTCGGCCTTGCTTCAATCCTGCAAGGCAGATATTGTTTTGCATTTTTCAGCCGAGCGCAGGTAAGCTAATCTAGTACCCAGATCGCCCACGGAAGAGAGATCTGAGTATGAGACTGGAGGCAAGCGCGACAAAGCGCGAGACAAACACAAGGGGCGAGTCATGCGTGAGACGAGGAAATAAAGCTGGAGAGAGTGACGTCATTTGATTCGCGCTTTTCACTTCGCGCGCGACAGCAGCTCGCCTGAATACGCAAAGAAGATGAAGACTGTGCAACAAACTATTGTGTTTAAAACAAAATGGCCTTTCTGGATCTCTTAACGCTAAAACAAACTGCGTTTACAGGCTGTATTTGCCACAGGCTGTACTTGAGCAGTAGGGTCGGACTCGTCTAAGTTGTTCAAAAAATTTTTAAGTTAGCTGGGCATTCATTGTAAGGAAACGCGAGTATTGATAATTAACCAGACAGTACAACAGAAACAAAAAAATCGGGTGTTGAATTGGTTTTCAAGCTTCATTTAATGATGGTTTTTCAACAAACTGTTGTGTTGCTATTAATAGTAACCTAATTTCTTAATATGTATGTCCATCTCGAATCAGGAAAAAGTTTTGGTTGGGGATTTGTTGATGCCAGTTCCGGAAAACAAAACAAAAATTTTGGTCGTAACATTCAATTAAGAACAAAGTTTTTAAGATATCAAAACCGTTTGTGCCACACACAAAAAATGAGGTTGTAATTCTATATTTGGAAAATAAGACAAACACAAACCTTGAATTCATCCCATTCAGTGCAAACAACAAGAGCATGTGCATCTTGGACTGCTTTGTAAGGATCATCGGCTATTGTAATCAGACTTTCCACTAGAGGGGAAAAAAGAGCAATAAACCAGTTTAAGCTGCTTTTTATTTTGCCACATTCACAGGAATGTGCATCGCCAACAAGGAGCCAAACCACAGGCCAGACCTTCACATTATTTTTGTGCTGACACTGGCTATCACTGAACTGTAGAGAACTTGTATGGTGAGCTAAGCCACTACATACTGTTCTCTTTGCATTTTCTAAGGAGCTAACAAGGAGAATTTGTTTAACAATCAAGAGCTTCTTTAATTGGGGACAACCTTTTCCTATCGTAAATTTACCTGCCTTTGGCAAAATTGTTAAATGAATAAAATACATAATTTCCTTTATTCTTGTGACCTTAATGTGTGATTCAGGGGTGATATCAAAAGGAGAAATAAGATGTTGGTCTCTCTAAGGGGTTAATATGTGACAAGCATCCTGCATATTCTGGGATCAGGATTCTGTGGGGGCATCTGCATAAGAAATGGAGACTGTGTGATCCTGGATCACACATGCCAACTTGGTCACTCTAAGGGGTTAATATGTGACAAGCATCCTGCATATTGTGGGATCAGCATTCCGTGGGGGCATCTGCATAAGAAATGGAGACTGTGTGATCCAGGATCACACACGCCAACTTGGTCACTCTAAGGGGTTAATATGTGACAAGCATCCTGCATATTATGGGATCAGGATTCTCTGGGGGCATCTGCATAAGAAATGGAGACTGTGTGATCCTGGATTACACCTGATAACTTGGTCACTCTAAGGGGTTAATATGTGACAAGCATCCTGCATATTGTGGGATCAGGATTCTGTAGGGGCATCTGCATAAGAAATGGAGACTGTGTGATCCTGGATCACACATGCCAACTTGGTCACTCTAAGGGGTTAATACGTGACAAGCATCCTGCATATTATGGGATCAGGATTCTGTGGGGGCATCTACATAAGAAATGGGGACTGTGTGATCCTGGATTACACCTGATAACTTGGTCACTCTAAGGGGTTAATATGTGACAAGCATCCTGCATATTGTGGGATCAGGATTCTGTGGGGGCATCTGCATAAGAAATGGAGACTGTGTGATCCTGGATCACACATGCCAACTTGAAATTTGACGTGTAGATGGGACGAAGAACCACCCCATAGCAGTGCCACTTCTAAATTCAAACATTTTAGCACGTCCATTTTGAAGTCACTGGTGATCTTTGTAATCTGATTGGCTCTCATTGATGCCCTTTATTCAATCATTGCACCTTTTTTTTGCTCTTTAAGAAATCATATCTTTTTCCCAGTCAATGACATAGCTTCTTTAAAGAAACCAATCAAATTGCCGGCAGGAAAATGAAAAACAACTTCTGCAATTTTCTACAAACCAGCTTACTACTGGATAGACAAAACAATGGTCAGACTAACAAATCCTGTATCTGAGCAGCTGATTTTTATGATTTCAAAATGAATGCAATAAAAGGGTAATTGAACTGGTTGGAAGCAAATTTGGTCTGAAATCAAACTTGTGTTGAACACTGCTTTGATTATGAAATCACACATACGAGTTTAGACCAAATTGCACTCCACTGAGTCCAGTTACCAAATAAATATTAATCTTATTAAATAATGGAACTAGTAAAGAGATTGCTACCTCTTTTTGGATCTTCTGAAATAGAAGGCTGGGTCAACTCCCTACAAAAGTGACAGTGAGACAATCATTTAGTTAAATCCAAACAATTTAGCAAGAATGTAAATTTAACTAATATATGAGGAGCAAAAATTAATGATGAAAACTGCAAAAATCATTAAAATGAAATTTCAACATACTTACAACATGATTTGATCTTTCTCAACCTTGGGATCAAAAACTGTTATCTTTGCCCCCTCGTCCATCAAATATTTGCAGATATAAATGCTGGCTGATTCTCTATCAATAGTTAAAGATTGATGAAGCTGAGTATTGACTTTTTCTATGACATTGATGTAAACAGTCTGAGCTGTCAGGCAATGACTCACCTTGTGTCTCCAGTATTTTTCTTGAAGGCAAATCCAAGCAATGCAATCTTCTTGTCAGTCACGGTGTTGAACAGGCAATTCACAATTCTACTGGCAAAACGCCGTCGTTGATACTCATTCATGGCAATTACTTGGTACCAGTAGTTTGCAACTTCAGGCAAGTTTAATGCCTCACAAAGGTAAACAAGGTTGAGGACATCCTTCTGGAAACAGCTTCCACCAAAACCTTTGATTTAAACAAAGAAATACATCTCTTAAACTCTTTACAACCTGACATCAGTATGCACATTCTCCATACTGTTCTCTAAACATTTCCAAAGGTGCTGCCAAGGAGAGTTTGTTCAACAATCAGGAGCTTCTTTAGTTTGGGATCATTTCTTTCATTCTCATGACTTTAATGTTTGACTCAGGGGTGATATTGTGAGAGTTCTAAATAAAATGCTTGTGACTCTTTCGGGTCAAAGGGTTTCCAGGGTATCCACTGGGGTATCCAAGGTGGGAGATTAATTCACAACAAAATTTGAAGGGCCTTAGCTATCTTTTATTTTTCCCCTGTTAACCCCCAAGTTTCTAAGAAAACGTTGTGCTGCTTCAATAAATTTTCTATAATTGTAGGAATACATGGGGGGACAACTGACTTGGTGGTTGGTAAAAGGTACTCCAGATTTAGGTCTGGATTTGAGTCCTGATCAAGCCTGAGTGATTTATCCCTGGTAAAGACATTTGACTCTTAAAGAAACTCTCTCTCCACCCAATAACATAAAAGTTCCCCAGGGTGCTAAATTAGAGAGCAGAGGAATTGCTGGTTACTTGTAATGATGTGCACCTTGAAGAAGAAACAATACTCCTACTCAAGGCTTTTGCTAAAAGAATTGTGATACTGTAAGCTTTAACCAGCAGTAACCTGCCACAAGACTTTAAACCAATTTTGTTTACTCAGAAGACAAATTGATGTTTTTAATATCCTACCAACAGAGGCTTGCAAAAAGTGCCGTCCTATCCTTGTATCTCGACCAATTGCACTTGCCACTTCAGACACATTTGCACCAGTCGCCTCACAAATCGCACTCATGGCATTGATGCTGGAGATACGCTGAGCTAGGAAAGCATTGGCTGCCTGCAAGGAACAACATATAAGCTTGTTTTTCTTTTCAATAAAACGTTTGACATATCAACACCCAGAGTGCAATAAAAACCCAAATTACTAACCAGCTTGGAAAGCTCAGAGGACCACGTGTTGGTTTTGATTACATTTTCTTTAGGAATCCAGTGTTCATAAACAGATGACAAGGCCTCAATGGCTTTGTATCCTTCCCTGGTTTGTTCACCCCCTAGAAAAGAGAGTGAAGAAGTCATGTATTAAAAAAAAAACACCCCACAAAAATTTGTCTGGATAGGTTCAACCTAAGATCTCATCTTTCTCATTGCTGTCTGCCATAAAGTTCTTATGATGTTAGTTTGAGAATTTGGTATAGGGTCAACTGATGATCTCCTAATTGATATTTTCTTTATTCTCATCACTTATTTGCTTGATATCGTACCGATATTGTAAGGAGAAACTCTGTCCTGATCACTCTTGGGAGAAAAAGGGTTTAAGTCTGCCTGATTAGAATTAATTTGTATTAATTCATACTGAGGATGTGCTTACCAGGTAATCATTAACAAAGGGACACACCTTGGAATAAATATGTATAATTATATTATTACTACTAAATCATAGTAGATTATAATTGATCCTTTTTGAAGATATTTTTGCTCAGGCACAAGGGACATGGGATAACACCAAGGGTGAGGACATCTGTACTTTTGAGAAAAGGAAGACACCTCAAAAGAGGCTTGAAGAAAGGTAATCTTTAGCAGTAACACTACCCAAATCTGCAGGTTCAGCAATCATATCTGTTTTTCAAGATATTGTTCCCAAAAAAAAGGACGACATTGTCAATATTTTATAACTGAAGTATCATGCACTGGCTTCATTCCAATATTAATGAAAACATCCATCATCATAACAATGATGACAATTATCAAAGGGTGTATGAGTAGGAGTTTAAATATATGTACAGGGTAAATCAATCAAAAAAATTACAGAAATGTATACTTGCCAATCAGAACTCTATCAGGTTCCATCAAGTCCTTGATAGCTGTACCCTCAGCCAAAAACTCTGGATTGGATAAAACCTGCATGGAAGGAGAGGCATGTCCTTTTCATCAGTCTTCAATCGAACTCATATCAGTATCATCACCATCATTCTCTTCTCATTCTCGCTCTTAACTATAATTATCATTACCATTATCATAAAATAATTTACTACTGTAATCATTAATATTCTTATCAATGAAAACAATTTGATAACAAGCTTATGAAGATCAATTCAAACCTGGAATTTTCCTCTACTTCCATTGGCCTCAAAAATTCTTGTAATACTAAGGAAAAAAAGTTTAATTAATTATCCGTGTGACTTTTCTCCATTCACGACATAGTAACCAACATTCTAGTTTCTTTATCTGAATACGCGCTTATTCACATAACACTCACACGATAACTCCTTTAATTATATCCCTCAGTTAGTGCATGCACTATGATTGGTCAATTTCAGGATTGGCACTTAGTGCCGGCTGCAGACGAAATTCACCGGATGAAAAAGGGGCTATCACTGGCTGAATTTTTGGCCAGAAATCCCTTGGTGAAGTACAATAGCCACTTCTGAGGTTACACAGTTACAATCATTCACCACTTTTGAGCCACCATCTTGAAATTTCAGCCTGCAGTGTAATATCTTAGCTACAACCCTGAATTTAGCAGGCTGTATGTCACTGTATTACTTGTCAAATTCAAAAGTTTGCTTGAATTGAATACAGAGGTATGATAATATCTTTATAACCTTGATTTCTCAGTCTGTACTGTAAGTTATAGAATCTCAGTTAATTTTTCTGGCTAATTTGTCGGCCAAAATCTAAGTGAAACCTACATTAAGGACCTTCAACTCGGTTAATAAGAAGTATGAATATAGCTCTTATTACCTTTCAGCAGCCCTAACAGGTACTGTGCTCTTCTCCACAACAATCTTCTCTCCATCAGCAACCTCTGCAATGCGTCTTGCCGCTGATTCTATGTACTTCAAATCTGGTGCCTGGCCCTAATGAACAGTTCATGGATGAGTAAGAAGTGAATATTGCTTTTTGCTAAAAATAGAAATGTTTATTGAGAGGGTAATTTTTCCATTTCCTTTGGATTGTCAAGTATTGTCGAGAACCTTCTTGAATTTGCCATTAATAGACACTACTTAAATGACAACACAAAGTGAATCAGTTCTCAAGACTGTCATGAATAGAACATCCATTCCGGTAATATTAAATCATCCGGAAAATGATTGATCAAGTCAGTATCATGAAAACCAAAAATATCTTATCTAAAAAGTGTAAATATAAACAGAAGAGAAAATCTTGCCAAAACCAGTTTTAAAAAACTCTTTACAGTGACTAATTTACATTTATCAACTCAGTCGATAAAACCAAATAATGTTATTACAAGTATATATGCAAATTCAATTCATTCACAGACGGTCTGGTGAATTTTCTTTCTTCCAAAACAAGAAAAACAAAGCGAGACAAATTGTTTAGGTAATAAATTGAACAAAACAACGAATTAGTATGCAAATTCTCAAAATCACATAGGGCTCTTGGTAACTTTAACAAAAACTCTGACTTGAATACTCTTTAATAGTTTATAATTTCAATTAATTAATGTTCGTCATAAGGGCCAATAAAGTAAGGATGATTTTACATGTATTTTCTGTTTTCACTGTCAAAAAAAGACACAAAATGATGTCTGGCCTGTGACAAACATCTTAGCAGAAAACTATCAGTTCATATTTTGGATTCACACAATTCCGGAAACTTCACAACGATGGCGCCAACACTGAGAATGTTTTGTATTTATATAGCTGTTCAGTAGAGTGACAACAAAAGTACAGCATTATTAAAAGTTCAAACAATTGACTCCAATCTACGTAAACTACAAAAGCCTGGTCGGAAACTTTACATCACAATATAAGCCAAATTTATCCGTTACCAACTGATGCTTTTTTTTCAGTCGAGTTCAATTACTTTGCCAATCACCGCTAATCGTGCTATGTTTTTATTCATTGATATCGTTTCCACGAAAGCAGCCGTCATTTCGATAGCGACAGAATTGAGGGAGAAAAATGCAAGTAAATGATGGAGAATACAGCAACCTTTAGTACTTGAACAAATATAAGGCACAAGGAAGCTCTACAAATACTTGACCACGTATTAAAATTAGATGAATATTTAATTCACATAAAAAAATAGTGTTTAAACAAAACATTTTGTCTATACGAAGCTATTATTTAAATCTCTAACAAAAAAGGTTTGAATGAAATGCAGTTGATATCTTTGAAAAGCTTACCTTCCCCAATCCGAAGGTTTTTGTTGGTGTATTAACCTAAAACGGATCAAATGAATAGAGAAATTACTAGAAGGGAATGCGTTTGATTAATTCATTTGTTCGGCCAAAGAAATCAGGCTCATATCTCACCGCACTAACAATTTTTGTTTCAAATGAATGAATAGATACTTGCATACAAGCAATTTTTAACGATCAATACTTACACAAATGAATATTAAATCAGCTTCGCGGATTGCGCTGTCGATATCTGTTGAAAAGAACAGGTTTTTCCCACGACACTTCTTTACAACATCATCAAGACCAGGCTGTGAAAATGGAACAAAAAGAAAAAAATGATTCATAAGACATAGGAATTTACCAACAGCATGAAAATAAAATATAGTTCGCTCACTTACCTCAAAGATCGGTAATTTCTCCGAATTCCAAGAGTCAATTCGCGGCTTGGTTAGATCAACTACAGTAACTTTAATCTCCGGGCATTTTAACGCGATAACACTACAAGTCGGGCCGCCAACATACCCAGCACCTATACAACAAATGGCTTTGATAGTGGTCATTTCTCAGAGCCGTGGATAATCAAACTGACCGCTTCCGAAATGGTGCAGGGATGTGTAAATCTGTGTTTACTTGCGGCGTGAGTTGTAAGATTTCGCAAAATTTAAGTGGGCGGTCAGGTCAGCGGATACCAAAGGGGTATTCCTCTGTTTGACGCTGATTGGTTGATTATAATTATATCAGCTGTGCAATATTTGGAGAGACCTGGAACCGGAAGAAAATAGGCCCGTAGTACGTACAAAGCCTGTGTACGTATAGCCTGTAAAATCGGGAGTTTAGAGGCTGTGCGTACACGATCACTCAAACTGATGACAAAATTAATTTTCATGCAAGTAGTAATTAAGTTCTTATAGTTGTGTTTGGATTTCATCTGGTGCATTCTGCCTTGCATGATTTAGAGAGAAAGGCCCATTTTGGAGCCTTTTCACTTGTCACCACAGGCAGACTGCCCTTCGAGTGCTATGAACTGTAAAACAAAACTATGGAAAGAGGAGAAACAATGAAAAATTCAGCTCTGAATGGTCCTGGTCTGAAATCCTCAACAAAAATGAAGTCAAAACTTATTTATCTAACTTAAGCCTTTAATTCCTGTGGGAGCCAAGACAAATAAAAAAACAAACAAACAAACAAAAACTATTAGGGTGTCATAAGTTGATTCACTACTACATTCTCAAAACTAACATTATAAGAATTGTATGGCAAACAGTAAGGAGAATTGCTAATGAGATCTTGGAGTGGAGTGGCCAAAAACACTTTTTTCCTTTATCATTCTTGACTCTTGGGTTTATATGTTGATTAAGAAACTAAACAGTACACAATCCCTTTCAGGTTACTCAAAGGATAATTTTTATTGAAAGAGATGTTCTGGCATATTTTCTAACATATAAATAACAGTAGGAACATTTTCAAGGCCTGTAGCTTTAAAGTTTAGGTTGAAAAAAGCTTACTTTGCCACCTAAGCAACCCATAGAGAGAAGTGATTGAGTTGGTGAAAACCTACAAGTCACCACAGCATGTTTGTGACTGATAAGAGTCTTTAAATCGCAAAGCTCTGAAGGTGTCTTCTGAACACAAGTTGCCAATTCTTCGCAATCTTTACTAAAACCGAGGATTCTGGCAGAATTTCCAAATGGTGAACAAATGATTCTTCCATCACTACTGAAACAATGTTCTTTTATGTAACCTCTGGCTACATTGGGTTCCTGAATGCTGTACGTAAGGCGACGCAAAGGAGATGTATTTTCTTCACCTACAATAGAAGTTAGTATTATTAAATATAAATTAACTACAAGATAAATAAATAAGATACCTAATTAGAATAATAAAAAGAGAATAATACATGGGCATATGTAGCCATGGAATTTCTCTTTAAGGTAAATGCAAGGAGAGGAATTCATACATTTAAAAGCAACCATCTATTATTTTGTATATTTTAAAAAATTCCTTGGCATATTACTGACACGACAAGCTTTGCCATTGATTCATCAACCTGATAAAGTGGCGTGAAAGGAAAGTAATGTGTCAGCAGTTGATTGGTGATATCAAACACAAGTAAAAAATTATGATCGCAATTTTACACTTATGCAGTTACTACTTTTCTTAGGGCTGGAAATCCCTGTTAAAATCCCCAATGTTGCTGGAAAAAAAAAATTTCAATAACCATCAGGGCAGGGGCTGCACTCCATTGGATCTCTGGGTGGTTGTGTGTTATTCGAGCTATAAATCTTTTCAAAATAATTTCTTTAACCCAATGCAGTTTTTTCCACAAAACTAATAATTTCTAAGGTGGGTATAACATACAATTGTAAAGTAAACAATACCAACCACCTCTAATTTCAGCGATATCCTGAATGTCATGAAGAACAGTCCACTCATATCTTGATTTCTTGCATGTGTATCGTGCAAGAGTACACCAGCCATGAGGATGGACCTCTAAAGATGAAATACACCAAGGCCAACATTCATCTGGGAAATCTTGAACAATCTCCAGGGCATTACGCTCCTTGCTTGGCCATCGATGACTAGCATAGCTAACAAGTGAAGATTCCGAGGCACCCCAGGTTGGGTACTCTTCCCCCTCCACGTCATATTGTAAGTAATCAAGGTTCAAATTATGCAGTACAAGTAAATTGCCAGGAATGGCCGAGATAATCATTTTGGATCCATCAGGGCACAATTTCGTCCGGATTAAATTTGAAAACTGTAAAACAATCCTTTGGTTTTGATCATCAAAGCCATCTATACTTGAGTACCTGTTTATGTCCCATGTCCTTATGGTATCGTCGAATGCCGACGTCACAAGAAGGCCGGACGGTCGGTGGTACTCGACACTTTTGACCCAATTCGAGTGCCCTTCTAAGCTTAGAACCTTACTTTTTAGATTCCTAGAATCCCAAAGAGCTATGGTGGTATCATCAGAGCATGTTACAAAGATCCTGGTGTCCAGAAAACGAACACAATTAACGCAATCACCATGTGCCGACCGTATGGTCTTCACCAACCGTTGGCTTAGAGGATCAAAGAAAAGCAAGCTGTGTTTTTCGCATGCTGCGACAAGAAGATCGCCGGTGGGTGAAAATTCCACATTAAAAATGGCCCCATGTCCAGCGTCATCTGGTCTATCCTCTGGATTCCAAATCTTTCTCAAGGCAAAATGTTTGTAATATTTTGAAGAGACGATGTCGTTTCGCTCAGCAGTCCCGAACAACTCGCGCCGTTTAAGATATGACAACGAAGACCATGCTTTACTATTTTTGCAGCCTAGTTTGCTCCTTTCAGCCGTATCAGGCTTTGATTCTCCCATGCGAGAGATTCAGATTGAACAGTCTTTCAGCCGAGTAACCGGTAAATTTTTGTTGTCTTTCCCTTTGGAAGTTTGTGGCCAGAGGTCTGGGGCGAATAAAACAAACAGTCTCCAGTGTTGTCTCCAGTTCCCTTAGCTTCGGCCAAGCCAGTTGAAGAAAAGCATAAGAGTGGGTAGGAGAGAAGGGCAAGACCATGGTACAAACTTGTCAACCAATATGAGAAGGGTTTTTTCAAAGGTTAAATAAGCAGATGCAGATATAATAAAAGTACAATGCATGAATAAAGTTGTGGAAATGAGTAAAAAGCACTAGATCTATGCCATTAAAATTATACCCCTGAGTGACTGGCATCTAATTTCTCCATATAATATCACCGCTAAATCCAAGGGCATGCGAGGGAGGGGATCTTGGGGTGCCAGGCTCCCTCTCCCCTTTGTAAGCCTTTTTTTGTCACATTTGTCACATTAAGTAAGATACAGCATAGACCACTTTCATAAATGGCTGCCGGATTAATATTCTTTTGTTTAAATTTAAATTTGCCTAGGTGGCCTTGTTCTCCAGTACAAAATTCAAAAGAATACATTATCTCAAGCGAGGCCACCCAGGCAAATTTAAATTTAAACAAAAGAATATTAATCCGGCAGCCATTTATGAAAGTGGTCTATGGAGGTCCACATGACAATCTAGTGAGTACTCGTTGTGATTTGAGACTGGAGGACCCCCCTTTAGAAAAAAAATTGGCCACACCCCTGAAATCACACATTTAGGTCTTGAGAATAAAAGAAATGATATCGTACTAGAGAAGGTCTTGATAGTTTACCTGTTGTAATGTAAAGAGAGAAAAAGATGGAGATCAATTTTCCTCAGAGAATCCCCTCTTCCTAGCTTCTACTGACAATTTGAAAGTCAAATTCATCTTTATTTTTAATTTTCGATTTTTTTGAAAGAGTAGTCTTGCTGAAGGTTGCAAAATTCTAGCTTGTGTCTGCTCATCTTTTCACCCTGCTTCTGCTTATCCACCGAGTGATGGGTGGTTGTCAAGCCTAGCCAGATTCTGGCTAGCGCTACTAAAGCCAGTTTTTATTCTTACAATGCTTCAATTTTCAAGTCCCAAATCCTCTTGAAAAAATAGAAGACTCCAAGACAGCTTAATCTCAAATGGTGTGGAAATAACTGACAACTACTACCAGGTCCTTGTACACCACATCATCAAACTTAAGAAAATGCACTTTATTGCCAAGACATTTAATTTTTACATTTAATATAGAGAAGTCTACAGTCCCAAAGATGATCAATTTATCATATTTACATTGGTATGATAAGACTGTGTTAAACAAAGTACGGAGGTTTCCTGGCAGTTATTCCATATTCACTGAGTGCTGGTGTCAAGTCTTCCATGGTTAACGTGTAGCGCTTGTCCTGCAAAATATAAACAAATTTTACTTGATTTCCACAAGAAGGTGATTGTGTTTGTTGTGAATTCATCTGTTATCCAATTAATTGCTCATTGATGACAAAGAGGCATTATAGCAACCAGTAATTTCAGTCACAAAATCAAGCAAGTTGTAACCCAAAAAGCAGAACAGGGAGTAATACCTTGTTTGTTGCATCAATATGAGTAAACTAAGAATAACTGCACAAATTAGACTTGTTTTAAAACTCACTTTGCCCGATTTTCTTGAGCTCTGTCCTGATCCCCTCATCTTACAATGTTGTAGAGCATCATTAGCAATGTCTGATACAAACTTCTGTGCAGCAAGAGAAATCATTCTCACTCTGCAGTGAAAGAAATGTTACTTTTAATCAGTAACCCTGCAATTAGAGAAATTGCAGAGGGCGATGTACACCCAAAACTTTTTTCAGTTAAGTTAGCAATCAATCTATGTGCCTCATCTGGCAAAGCTAATCACATTTACATTTTCAACAGCATCACAAGACAAGGAGTGTACCTACTCCCCCTGGGTGGAATGCTACTTCATCACTGGTTATCCCCTTTCTCCCTACACCCCACCACCATTTTGTCAGATTTTCCGAACAGTTTGCCATTACTCACTCATACTCCTAAGTGGAGAGATGCAATGCGAAAGAAAAGTGTTTTGCCTGAAAACTAACCAAAATGACATGGCCAGGTCCTAAATCCTAACCCCTTGATACAGAGACAGGCAACCTCCACAAGCTGAGTATCACATCTTGTGTGCCGCAGGGGTCCATTTTGGGCCCCTTGTATTTTGTTATTTTCATCAGTGATTTGCCTGAGGTAGTCCAAGAAAGCTCTGTGGCACTTTATGCAGATGACTGCAAGGCGTACAGGGTGGTAAATTGTCCAAATGACCTAATAATGTTTCAAGACGATCTAGACAGATTGTGCGCTTGGAGTCAACGGAACAGGATGACCTTTAATGTTAAGAAATGCAAGATGATGCCTATTACCCGGAAGAAACAACCATTCAGATCTAGCTTCACCCTAAACAGATTGGACATAGAGGAAGTTTATGAGTTTCGTGACCTAGGTTTGCTTATGAATCGTCTTTCCTGGAGCTCTCATGTTGATGCTATTACAAATAAAGCTAATAGAATCTTGGGCCTGCTGAGAAGAACCTGTGGAGGCTGGAAGGACACCAAAACTCTGAAGATGTTGTACTGCACGTTGGTTAGATCGCAAGTGGAATATGGAACAATTGTGTGGTCACCACATACCAAGAGAAACATTGAAAAGCTTGAGTGCATACAGCAGAAGGGAACAAAATTTATTCTTGCAAAAAGGAATTTTACTTATGACGAGCGCCTGAAATGTCTCAATTTGCTTTCACTTGAAAAGAGATGTTATCTTTTTGATGTTACATTTTTGTACAAGGCTTTAAATGGATACTTAAAAGTGGATGTTTTTCCGTTTTTGAATTTTTATTCTCGGGACGATCTGTACAGATTTTAATGACTATTCCTTGAAGATGAATTTTGCGACAACGACTAATTTTAAATCCACTTATTTTAATAGAATTGTTGAAATGTGGAATTCAATACCCTTAGATGTTATATTATCTCCTTGTCTTGCAGTTTTTAAGTCTAGAGTGAGGAAGTTTTTAAGTAAGGAACATTGACGTTTTTAACGTTCTTATTTTTGATCTAAAATTTTACTGTCCATTGTTATACTTGACCTATTTAGATTAGCTACACGGTGATCTGTCTTGCGTGGAGTGTTCCACTCTTTTACAGATTATCCTTATGGCTCTGTTTGTTTGTATATTTAGATTTATTTATTTGTCATCAATGCCATTAAATTGTAAATTGTAATAAAAAAACAAGCAATCGCCACTTCTCCTACAAGTAAATTTTAGGCATTAGTAGTGCCATGCTAAAGCATCAGGTAATGAAGTCTCAGGGTCTTTGGTTCAAAACCTCTTTAGTGATTCATTGCTTTTTTTTTTTTTGTCCCATGCTTGTGATGAATTAATGACAGCTTTGTTCATTGAAACTCAACATTTTGTCATTTTTCTTATCCATTTATAAATACAACTCTACTCCTATGCCTAGAAAAATTATGATTACCACCCTCAAAGATAACTGATTCCAATTCAACTTACACTCTTGGGTCTGTGGAGTCAAATCCTGCTCGATTTAAGTAAAATGCTGTTACAGCATCTGGTATCTAGGAAATGGTAGAAAAACACTTAAACAAAAGCTTGGGATTTCTTTATCCTATAGGCCTACTTAACCTTTCTACTTGATGCTAGTGGAAGGAATCCAAGGGTAAAGGGCCAAGATTTGTAAGGAAGAATATGAAGCAAACACTGAGTTCTGATTGGTTGGTTGAGTGGGCCCCTACAAAGGGAGCAACTACAGAATACAGGGCCACTGAGGTCCACCTTGTCAACAGTTGCTTTGAAAAAACAAGGCAGAACCCAAAAGGAGGATTAATGATTCAATGATATGTAAATAAGTAGCCCTGTGTTCTGTAGTTTTACCTATTGCTCTCCCTATGCAAGAACTGTAGGTATTATGAAGTATGAGGCTGTGTGGAAATCTTTACTCAGATTGCCCCCTTGTTTGACGCACAAGTAAAAATCTCGAAGGTGTTTGTATAATTAACACGAGACGCACTACGTATGATCGACAAAACTGCGGACTATCAGCTACGCTTTTTCTCGTTTCTATGGATTTAGACGAAGTCAAGATCCACTAAGAACCGAAATTCGGCCATTACATCAAACAAAAACAAAAACTGGAAAATGGTACATAAGTTAACTTCGATACCGTGGGTGTGTAGTCATCCAACTGGGTTAAAAACTCCGCTAACGAAGCTCCAGCGTTTCTGACTTTAGTATCCACATGGGACACAGTTGTTGTCGCTGTATTAGAAGCTGTGGGTTGAGTTGTTGCTGGCTGGCTTCCCGAAATACCACTTGTATTTGGTTTGTTTTGAACGGAATTAGGAACTAGATTCTGTGTGCCGTCCGCCATGTTTTGTGCAACTAGTAAGCATGCGCTCTAGTTAATTAAATATAACATTCCATCTTAACATGGCGGCGATTTTAAAGTTTGAAATAGTTGTTATTCTTCATGCCATGCGTAATGTTTCCGGGAGACACAGTTATGAAGTGAGTTTTCCTGTACTCAAGAAAAGGAGGAAAAAAAGGACTTGAAAAAAGAGAATGATTAATATTAAGATCTCCAAGCTGTTCAAGTGTTTTCAAAGCCTCTTTCAATGGCAAGATTTATGAATATTTATCCAAGTACCTTTACTTCTTCACAGCTTTGCAAGGCAGGTGCGCAACAGTAGGGAACAGCTCGTAAATTATTTACAATGTTTTTACTTTCAATAGATCACTTTGGTAACGAGCACTTATCAGGTGAAATGTTCTTAGGTGAACCCTAAAATTATGCGCGAGTTCTCTACTTCATGGCTATTTTCGCACTCGATCAGTGTTTTTAAACTGACAAAGTTTACACGAACCTAACTCGCACATATGGCTGAAGCCGAACGCGTTCTTATTGCTGCGAAAGACGGAGATCTTCAAACTTTACGATCGCTCCGTCGATCAGCGCCTTTCGCGGCGGATGGATTTGGAGCGACTGCTCTTCATTACGCGGCAAGAACAGGAAGGATCGATTGTGTAAAATGGCTGGTCGAAACTGTTGGAATTTCTCCTAACGTTCACGGAAGAAGTGGGGCGACACCGTTTCATGATGCTGCGGCTCAAGGAGAGCTAGAGTGCGTGAAATATTTCCTTGCGACCGGTGAGGTGGATGCAGACACTCGAGATGGCTCTGGACATACTGCACTGCATCTAGCGGCGAGATTTGGAAGGTTTGACACCGTCAAATGGTTGATCGAGAAAGGGAACGGTAACCCCAGGGCCAAGTCAAGGAATTTCATGACTCCAGTGCATTTTGCTGCTTGTGGAGGGCACCTGACATGCTTAGAGCTGTTGGTTTTTAAAGCTGGTTACAGGTAGAATGTGCTATGATCGCAGTGTTGAGAGTCATACGCCAGATGGCTAAAATCTGCAGGAATCAGTCTTAAGGCCCAGTCAAACGCACACAACATTTCAACGCAACATCTTGCAACATTGTTGACAAGGAGCTGGCCAAACGCGTACAACATCTTGCAACATCCAAAAGTGTTGTAACAAAAATCTGTCGAAAGACCATTTTCAAACTTGACCCAACACCATCCAACATGTTGCAACATGTAGCTACAGGGTGGCCAAACATGTGCTACAGGTTGCGGGCAATGAAGTCGCAAGGTGTTGCATTGAAAGGTTGCATGCATTTGGCAGGCCTTTATAGTGGATGAGAGCCTCATAGTGTGCTCAGTTTTATTTATTTATTTTTTTCCATTCTGGCCTTATTACAGAGCACCCTTTCACAATGCTTCTGACAGTTTGGACCCCAGACTAGCAGTATACCAAACACTTTACTGCAATTTGTTCATGAACCTCCTGTTAGTAGTGTTATAATGTAACTCAGCATTGAGTTACATGTACCTGTAATTCAGTTGGTAGAGCATAAAACTGCAGAGCTAAAACCATAGTTAGTAACTAAGCTAAAACTTTTGAGGTTTGAACCCTTACAGGAAAATCAAATTTTTTCTCTTGTCTTCCATACCCTTTAAAAGTTTATCTCCTTTCATTAATTTCAAGAGTTAGAATTTTACACTATTGGTATCTCTTTGTGACCTGTATAGAAGAGAGCTATATTCTCACCATTTGAAGATAGTTAAAAGTCTGTGAGTAGTTTAAGACTTTGCAACATTTTGTCTAGAAAAATAGACACACAGGTGTACACTGTAACGGTTGCAGTCAAACTTTTATACGATGTAACTCTATCAATTTTCAGCTGTGTTAATGATATTGCAACAGATGGAACAACTCCCTTGTATCTCGCTTCTCAAGATGGTAATCTAGACTGTGTTAAGTATCTGCACAGTGTTGACGGCAAATGTAATGCAAGAGCCCGGGATGGAATGCTGCCAATTCATGCTGCAGCCCAGAATGGACATCTAGACTGCATAGGATATCTGGTGAGGAAAGAAAGACAGGCAACGTCTCCAAGCTGTCTGCATAGACTGTGGATAATAAAAACTTTAATTGGTGACTGAATTTGCTGCAAGTCTCGAATCCTTTCACCACTGTTCAGCAGTCGTTTAGAAAGATGTAGCATACATGTACAGGGCTGGACACTAACTTTTCAACTTACTAGCCAAGTGGCTGGTGACATCTTAGATGTAATGACAATTTCAGTTTGTTTACTAGCCAAACTGGCCAGTGGAAATCGAAAACCACTAGCCAAAACTGAATTTCTACTAGTCTGTGGCTAGTGGGCTACCGTTAGTGTCAAGCCCTGATGTATTTATTGATGTATTTGGTCCCAAGTCAAAGTGAGATTAAGCAAGTTGCATGAAATACTAACTAAACCTGTGATCCTTAAGAGCATTTAATTTCTCCTTTTATTATAACACCCCCTGAGTCCCACACTAAGGTCACAAGAATAAAGAAAATGATCACCAACTCTTTAACGCAGCTCCTGATTGTTTAACAAATTCACTTGGTCAGTTAGTTGGGAAATGTATAGAGAACAGTGTGGAGAATATGCACACTCATGTAAAGGGGTAAAGGGCTAATTCAAAGTGAGATAATCATTTGCATGAAATTTTAAATGCCTTGTCACCTCATTGAAGAGAAATTGAGTCTGAAATACCACATCTGGTGCCGCATGTTATGAAACAAATAAGGTTGCTAGTGGGTAAATTTCGGGAAAATCTGATTGTGGAGTCCTGATCATTGTAACTTTCTTCTGGCTGTCAACAGTAATTACCTGGAATTCAGTTGGTCAATTTTAATTGTCCAAGGGACTGTCGTCCTTTTTTGTTCTGTACTTCTGTTAACATGTTGGAAGGAGAGAGAGTAAATTGACTTGTATTTTACCATAAAGAAAATTGCAGATTATGGTCTTCAGTGGCAGATCTAGACCTTGAGCTAAGGAGGGGGGGGGGTGTTTGCATGTGTGTGTGTTCACCTGCCAGCTTTTCTTCCCTCTGTGTTAATTTTTTTACCCAAACTAAGTGGGGGGCTAGGCCCCCAGGTGCCTCTCTCCTCCATCTGTCACGTGTCTTCACCAGATTTTAGTGTTTTTGATATTTCTTTTCTGTTCCATTCTGTAGATGGAAAAGGGACGGTCCTCAGCAAATGAGAGAGATGGAACCAGTGCCACACCTGCACACTATGCTGCCTCACAAGGTATGGAAGAGTACTTATTCATAGTTAACCCTTTCACTTCCAGGTTTGACGAGGATAAATCTCTCTCACAGCTTCCATACATTCTTGAGTAGAAAGGTGATGAGAAGGGAAAAAATTATTTATGAGGGGGATGATATTTGACTGACAAATTCTTAGATCTAAAATTGTAGGCGATAAATGACAAACAGTGTGGAGAAGAACTATTTAAATCTTGGGTGTGATAAAGTTGAATCATAATATCGGTGAGAATGGTATTGCAAGACCCAAGAGACTCTTTGCACTCTCCAATTCAGCCAGATTTTCAAAGAAGTGCAAACTGGTGCTAAAAAAATTTCTATGATTGCCTGTGATTGTCCTCATGGAAATAATTATTTAATGTTTCCCTGCCTTTTTATGTAAGGTTGACTCCTTGAACACACAGAGCAGCAAGAGATCTCTGAAGAGTATGGTGGTTGAAATCTCCAAATAAAAAATTTGTGGATCCATTCTTGGCAATGCGTGTGTGTTTGGTCAAGGTGACATAGTAGTAACACCATGAACTGTTTTAAAATGAAGTTGAAGACCTAGGAAGGGTACTACAGGTTTCTGCATATCTTTTATTTAGACTTGGACAGGTGTAATGTATTGAATTAAAAACAATTGGAGCAATTACATGTGTATTTTATTCAAAATTAACAGTTTTTATGTTCAACTTGGTTTCATATAATTATAGGTCATGTGACTGTGTTAAAGTGGCTGAATGCCAAAGGGGTTGTTACTGCAACAGACCAAATGGGTAGCACTCCCCTACATGATGCTGCAGAACAAGGACAATTTGAGGTGAGTAACAGATGTTTTCTACATGAATTGACCATCAGGAGGAAATCTGAAACATTTAATTTTACTTGAAAGATTTAAAAAAAGTCTTAAAATCCAAGCAATTACTAAATGTTTTGATCAATGCTCTAACCATTTTCACTGCATTACCGCAGTAGGGTAGGACTAGAACGGAACACATGCGAACCATGCGAGTAGTCCACCCATTAAATCCCACCCATCCCACCCCAGGGGAGGTGTGTTGGTCCGGCTGGGGCTTGAACCCTCAACCTCCCACACAGCAGTCCAGCGCTCTATCCATTGAGCTAACCGGAAGGCTTTACTCTGTTGCAGCTATAATAATGCCAGCTTGTTCATGCTCTCCTATTACGCCATTAAGTACTTCAAGTGATATATGTTTATTTAGAGTACCGGTAAAAGTTAATCTATGAAGTTTCATCTTGCAAAGTCCTACTGGATAATTTGCTTTATTTGATTTGTTATGTATTATTATTTAATTGTCTGATTTTAGACAGGAGTGTCCAATTTAAGACACTAGTGTCCAATTTCAGAGTGTGCCTGATTTGAGACACTAGAGTCCAACTTTAACACCAGTGTCCAGTAGTAGACACTCTTGTCTGAGTTTAGACACCAGTGTCCAATTTTAGACACTAGTGTCCGATTGTAGACACTGGTGTCTGATTTTAGACACTAGTGTCTGATTTTACTCACTAGTGTTTAGTTTTAGACACTAGTGTCTGATATTGGACACTTGATATTTTAGACACATGAAATAATTCTCTTGGCAGTGTATCAAATACCTTGTAGAAAATGCAGAGCTGAACGTGCAACAGAAAGACAAGGAGGGGATGAATCCCTTAACCTTAGCAGAGAAAAATGGTCACCGCAGATGTTTAGATTACCTCAAGATTGCAGCATCAAAGGTATTTTATATGTTAAATTTATTTGAAATATTTATCATAACTGGGAGATCTGATGGCCTTATGATTGATGCGCTGGAGTCTGGGTCGAGAGGTCTGGAGTCGAGGCTTAGCGGGAAAAACGTGTTGTGTTCTTGGGTGCCTCTCTCCACCCAGGGTTATAAATGGATACCACAAAGCCTGATGAATGGCAAGGAGGTAAACTTGTGATCCCATCCAGTAAGGAGTAGTGGTACTCCTTCATGCTAAGGAAATCAGCAGAGGATAAACTCCGGCTTTGTTGGCCACTTGGTTTGAATACAGACTTTACGTTACCTTGCCCTTATTAAAACTAAGAAAAATCTTATTGCCCTCAGAAATTGCACATCATATTGATTTTATCCCCAGTGACATACTTTTGCAACAATGATGCTAGGTATTATGCTAGCCATGTTAACTGTAGTGTTAAAGTGTTTCTCGCTGCAAAATTCCTTCTACTTTCTAATAAAAGCAATCTGTGCTTCTGTGCTCACATTTAGCAGGTCAGATCTCTCTTCATCTGTCTCTTATCTTTCTTTTTTTTTCTTCTGTCACTTTTCTAAAAACTGTTGAACCTTTTGGCACGTAAATCATTTCTGCAAAAGCTTTTAAACTTCAATTTTAAACACATTTTTGAACTTTCAACAGATGCCAACGTCCCGACAATAACACGAAAGCAAACAACATTTATAGCTGCTAAGAGCATGGCAACAAAGTTAAGTTTTTATTATGCTAGGTCTTGTCCGTTGTCACAATGGAAATTTTCTATTAGGACATTGTTACCCATTTTGATTATGTTTATTTTAATAATTTGGCTGATTGCACACAAGTAGTGCTTTCATTTACAGTACGGCAGTTAGTTTTAAGTATTTTGAAGGGGCGGCATTTTTTTCCTCTGATCACTCGCAAGAATTTCACAATATTTTCTCCAAGCTCATGATTAAAGCTTTTCATGGCCTCTTAGCAGTACATTTTTTTGTGACAGTTTCATAGCGCTAAGAATGGAAATAAACTACAGTTATTAACTGATAAAACTATGTTATAGAACAAACGTAACTTTAAATTTAAAAGTTGAATTTTTAGTGAAAAAAAAAAAAATGAAAGTTGAGAACATTTATGATTAAAGCAAATGTGTTGTGTGCTTGCTAGTGTAATCAATTATTAAGTTAATAGTTAAACAAACAAACGGAGAAATAAATACATTCTATGATGGATAAGTTTGTTTCTGATACATCGTTTAAACTTGAATACATTTTAAAATCAGTGTAAGGCAATTTGGGATCATGTTGTACGTTCCCTTTGACGTGTTTCCTGTTTATGACACAATTGACCATTCGGCCAGTCATAGGGCTGGATTGTAAATTTAGCCAGAATCCAAGAGGATGATTTTTTACTCCTGTGTCGTTTTGTGGTGTGACTCCTTTATAAACCTAAAGAACGTCACGTATTAGACACTTTGCAATTGGTGTGTCTGTAGCTCATTTAGTCTAAAAGTCGCATAACCTAAACTTCAACACGGCAAAATCGTACAAATGCTGAACAACAAACGTCCTTAACATGATGAAGCTGCGAAGCGGTTTCTCGACTAACCCGTCCGGCAGTCAAGGAAAAGGAAAGATTTGTTGGGAATCGTTGCTATGAAGCTTATTGCTGCTGGTATGTTATTAGAGAGGAGCTTAGATTATTCTCGGTGTTGCTTGTCAGTCTAGAAGTCTTTTTTAACAGTAAATGATAAATCAGATAAAACACCATTCGCAACAAACGCTCCAGGTTATGAAACGTGTGAATAGATAAAAATAGGAACTTAGGTGATGAAAATATCTAAGTAAGGGCTTGTGTAAAAAAAAGGTTTCTCAAAGACTTTCGCTTTTAACCTGAGGAAGGATACAGTTATAAATGGGATCACGTGATATCTTTCCTTTTGTTTTCTTCTGGGGAAGAATTTCGTTAAGACAGCGAATGGGGTCTTTGATGATCCTTTCCCATGTTGCCATATCTCTAGCATGTAGAATGTCTTTCGCGTGTTAAGTTACTTAAATAGCCGTATTTTAGAGCATGCTTACAGAGATTGTGAATTCTTGCAGGATGTTTATTTTCGAATTCACATTCGTGCATGAATATGGTTTATTTGATAAGAAAATGAGTGATTTTCTCAGACTAACGTTTACTTTTCAGAAGCTTTCCTAACAAACTGTATTCAGAGCGAGACTGGCTTGAAGAAATCCTTCTGATTGTTAGTTTCTAATGAACGTTAAAACACCCATACCAGTGTAGCATGCACACGAAACTTTGTGTGACCGTCACCAGTATTTTGCAGTCGGCTTATTTCGCTATTCTTAATTTTGCTCATTGGGGGCCCCAGCTATGAATTGACAAAATTTCAGCGTTTCAAATTTCCCATCGAAAACGACTTTAAGAGAAAATTGAAGCAGTGCCATTCATACTGACCAAGGGAAAGTATCTACCGGTCAGTGATATGTGGCTTTCTTGTTTGTAGAATAATTTTGTGTCGTGGAACCCCTTTAAGGACACCTTTATTCAGCTTTGCGCCGACTGAAATATGTTCCTGTTACCTTAAACGAAGGGTCTCCTTAACCTAGGCACACTTTTTGTAGATTCTTAAATTAAGGTTCTTCTGTATTCATATTCATATTTGTCCTCTTTTTCTGCAGCAAGCCAAAGCTCAAAAGAGACTGACGGATACCAAGAAACATGATTCGGTTACAGAGAACTTGAAGCCAAAGATGATCGATCCAGGGAAAAGTTTAGCAATTTCAGCAAAGGAAAACGTCACTTTCAAAACTTTAGCGGAACCTGGTTTTCAAGTGAGAGAAAAGTCCGAACGAGCTTCTTTGCAACCAAGTCTTAACGAAAAGAAAAAGAAACCTGCAATTTTAAAAGAAATTATCATACCCTCATCTGTTAACACTAGGGATCTGAATGAGAGTACAAAACCTTTCCCGCAACACACTCAATCGATAGCATCCAAAGTCCTTCCTTCGTCGTTTACTAAAAAGTCCATGAGCGAAAAACAGCCATTTCCTTCACCGCCTTTAGTGGGGATCATTCCTCCTCCGCCAGAGTTTTCTGAGGTCACAGGTGAGCTACCATACTATTTTTAAACTTATGATAAAATTAATTTTCTGCTTGGAAGACACAGTGGCCAATTGGTCATTGGGCTGGACTGCCGAGCGAGAAATCCAGGTTCTAAGGCTCCTTTTAACTGGCCCGTTTGTATCATTTATTTTGGCAAGATGCTTTACTCTCGTAATGCTTTCTCTACTGAAGAGTATAAATTGGTAGTCTGGGAAAGAGAGAGTGAGAGAAAGAGCGAGAGATGGCCAAGGAAATTCCTGGCGCTCACTTGCAACGGAATTGCATCCCATCCAGGAGAACAAGCAGCATTCCTTGTACGTTAATGTTATGAAAAGCGAAATTGCTCGAAGCGCATTGGGCTGGTTCCTTGTTCGAGGGCAGACTTAGCAGTTACGTGCTTTAAAGAAGAACAGTTATAGTTAACAGCATTTAATTATTCAATACTTTCTATAGCATTTATTTATTTCACTCGAAACGGCAGCGCACAGAAGTGCTTGAGATCGGTTGATGCTGGAGAACAAGACACTTTATTTTGCTAGTACATCTCCAAGTTTCTTTCACCCTACTGATTCCTTTGCAAATATTAGTCCCCTTGTTCTTTAGTAATAAAAGTATACACTAGTGTTGGATTCGAATTTAGTTGCCTTCAGGGAACGCCCTTCAAACAGTAGCTTAGCAGCTCTTGTTGAATAGCAAGTCAACTTCAATGCAGTTACTGAAGCCATGCGTGGACATCGTTGTTGTAACGATCAGAATTTAACAGTCTCAACTTGCTATTTCTCTGAAATTTGCACTTGTTATCCTTAAGTTGTCGTCATTACTCATCTTTGCGAGGGGGGGGGGGAGGAGTTAACTGTTTTCACCACATGCTTACGTAGCACTATAAGAGCACCGCGAACCTCTACTCTTTAGAGCAAAATAAGAATAATACACAACCCTGTAAATATTGATAGAGAGATTTAGCACCGCGTTCACGTGAAACGTGAACGGCAAGAATGACCACGTGACCTTGTTATTACCGCAATTTTTTCACGTTTGCCGGTTGCGCTTTGCTGTTTTTACGTGAAAGTAACCTGTTTCGCGTTTGCTGTGTTGGTAAGATTTTCTTCACTTTTTCTCACACGCTATTTTACGTGAAACGTGAAAGGGCAAGCTAGACGTTTGCCGTTTCACGTGAACGTGGTGTTAAATCTCCCTATTGACTCAGCGAAGGCAAAGTGAAAAAACTGTTTCTATGGGTGATTATCAAGAAACTCAGAGGCAAGCTTTGTTTCTGTATTCTAATCACCTCCTGTGGGTGTGATATGGCGTAATTTTCGACCATTCTTAGCATTTGCGTCTCTATAATCGCCTGTCAGTTAGTAATCACTAGAATGACTGTGTATTTTTTTACAAATAGTTGAAAACATGTTTTCGTTTTCAATCAGCTGAGATTAGATTCTTTGACGTCACAGTCATTCTTTTATTTTTCGACAAGGTGAGGAATCATTTAAGCCGAAAGAAAACATCAACTTGAATGGAAACGAAGCCAAAAGTGAAACTTCCAACTTAAGCGGACTCTCTGAGTCAACACATGTTGCTAAAGTTACAAATCAAGATGACTGCAGCGTTATCGTAAAGGTTGAATCTTTGTCAGCCAAGCCCACTACTTCGAGCCATGGAATCAACGAATCTGAAGATAAGTACACGAAGACGACTGTTAGAGGCAGCATTGGCGGCCAACCAATTGGAAACAAGGATCAGAACGAGACGAGTCACGTGACTAGCGTAGGGTGTCATGAAGTGAACGTCCAATCATTGCACGAGGAGTTGGTGAATGTGCTGCCGCTGTGGAAGCGACAGATCTTGATGAATCGGGTCATCAAAGAAAAGGCGCGAGAACGAGCAGAGCGAGAAAAGGTTAGCAGGGTTCGTGCTACTCCTTAAACTTCTTGAAAACTACTTGAATATATTTTGCAAATTTAAGGGCGCTTGAAAACTCCTTAAAAATAAGAAATTTTAAAAACATCCTTATAATCTCCTTGAATTTTTTACTTAAATACGCATTGAATGTGAAAAAATATATTGGAAACAGTAAAAGAAAAAAAATATAGAAAATTATCTGGTTCAAGAGCGCCTTGGAAAAAAAATGTGCCGCCATTATTGCAAACAAACGATTTTTTCATAGCAAAAATGACTCCTTGAAAGTCAAATTTAAGTCCTTAAATACTCCTTAAATTCCTGCACGAACCCTGGGTTAGATCGTAAGGGTGACTCGCTAGGTGAAGTCGCTTGTGACCTTATTGGTTTTCAAAAGAATGTAATATAATCTCAGAACAAACTCTACACTCCAAAGATTGAAACCTGATTGAGTTGAACGAATGATTGAAATAATCAATGAGGTAAGATTGCGTCCAACAAGTTAAGGTCATGATTAATGCCAAAGTTTTCCTATGAAGTCTCAGTTAAGTCATTTCGAAACCAATCGTCTTCTGTGCGATGATGATTATGGACCTAGTTATGGACCTAGTGGCCTCGCCTGCCAAGAATCTCCTATGGCTCAGAAAAAGACATTTCCGAAAATTTTATGCGAAAGTTTTAAGCTTAGAAAAACGGATAAAGCTGGCTCAACCCTCGGTTAATAGCACGAGTTATGTTTTTTTTTTTTTTTTTCAGAGAGAGATTGAGCAGAGAAAGTGGTCTTCTGTACCTTCATGGAAAATACCTTTAATCAGTAAGAAGGAAGAAGAAAGGTTTGTGAGGCATCTTCGTGTCGAGTATTCTCGTATCCTCAATTAATTGTGTGAGCGAGTTGAAATTTAGTGGTAAGCATATCGGGTACTGTTTCAATTGATTCTGTTTCAGCTCGTGCTGTGACTGCCTCCAAAAGATTTCCCGCCTCTTTGTCAACCAATCAAATTCAAAACCAAATCTAACTGCAGCTTTCGCGCGCTTGGAGTGATCACGTGGTCACGTTTCATCACTCGTTGAATAGCCGTAAGGTCGAAACTGTTTTGGATTTTTTTGTCACCTAATTAAAACCTTTCTCACCTTTAATGCAAGTGAGGAAGTAGCCGAACATGTTATTCTTGTTCTTTGTTTCTTAGGCTAAAAGAAGAGCAGCGCTGGGTTGGCATGCCTGACTGGAAGAAGAACTTACTCAGAAAAAGAGGATCTGAACTTATTTATCGCGACTATCACAAAATTAATGCCCCCATGAGACGCAGAGTGTCATTCAAGTCACCAGATATATCTGATGAAGAAGAATTTGATGGTGGGCCACGAACAACAGGACCGTCTTCGACTAATTAAAGGCGAGAAATGGATTAAAACGTATTTGGAAGATTGTTCTTAGTTCTATTTGAGTGGTTCGGCTTTAAGTGACCCTTCAATACAGGTGGAGGACAATACAAATAGGTCTTTAGGACTTAGACCGCTTAACAGAGATGACCGCTT